CTGGTTAAAGAAGTTGTGTATTTATACAATGGAATACTATTCAGCCATAAAAAGAATAAGATAATGCCATTTGCAGCAACAAGGATGGACCTGGAGAATGTCATACTAAGTCAAATAAGCCAGAAAGAGAAAGAAAAATACCATATGATATCACTTATGTGTGGAATTAAAAAAAATGACACAAATGAACTTACCTACAAGACCGAAATAGACTCACAGACATAGAAAACAAACTTGCGGTTACCAGGGGGGAAAGGGGGAATGGAGGGAGTTCAGGATTTGCAGATACTAACTACTATATACAAAACAGATGAACAACAAAGTCCCACTCTATAGCACAGGGAACTATACTCAATGCCTTGTAATAACCTATAATGAAAAAGAATATGAAAAGGAATATATATATAACTGAATCACTATGCTGTACACCAGAAATTAACACAACATTGTAAACTGATTCTAATTTAAAAAAAAAAAACTAAGGAGGGGAAAAAAAAAGTGGGTCAAGCTCTCCAAGATGGCCCCACCAAAATCATGCCAACACCAAATGTGACGAAATGGAAGGCTTTCAGACTTGACACCTGGGCAAGTCACTGTTAACTAAAGTTAACCCCTGAATTCACTATAAAAAGAAATAAGTAAGGCCGAAAGAGGCCAAAAGAGCTGACCTGAACCAAGCCTTCCCTGCCCCTGTCCCCCTGCCAAAAAAAATCAATAATCTTGTTAAAGGTAGGTCTAAGTAGTCTTGGGTCCCCAGAATCAGAGATACAAAACTCTTAACTTTGAAACACACACGGCCCCCAGCGTCCAGCGCGAGTGAGCTGGAGCAGCGGGGGGCTGTCGGAGCCAAAAGCGGATGGGAAACGCTGCTCCTCCCGCCCGCGAGCTGGGTCCCGGCACCCCAGTCACCACCCTCCAGAGCCTCAGGCTCTCATTCACACCGCTTGCCTCCAGCTTTTCACCCTCACAGACCTTCTTTGTTGATATGTGGCTTCCTCCAAAAAGGAACTGAGGCAGCTCATAATCTCATTAGGAATACTTCAGAGGCTTTAAAAAAAAATTAAGGTACTCTGAACTCCTCAGGATATTTTTTAAAATGTGTCAGGAAAATAAAATACATTAACAGTATGACTGCAGAGCGGGGGACTAGGACTTTTAATGATCCTCTGACACACAACCGCATGTCCTCACTCAGGGTGATTCTGAAGGATGTGCATTTTTCACTTCCTGTACTCACCTCTAACAATAAGATATTTTCAGTTAAGGAAAAAAAGCTGTGAATGTGGATGAATGTAATTCTGACTCAGAAACAAACCTAAATCAGCAGCACGTGTTAAGTCTTCCACAGCCTGGACTTGAAACTCAAGACTTGTGTTCACCCCCGATAAGATCTTTTACAGAGATCTGATCTATGTCCAAGTCAGTTTTGAAGTCAAAAAGCTTTGAACTCCTGGCAGGTTGACAGCTTGGACCTTGAGTGTTTATCAGGAACTTCCTTGAGCTAGAAAGGGTGGCTCCATCACCACCTCCAGCCCCCTGCAGCTTCCCCTTGTAAGAGCTGGCACCCCGCCTGGACCTTGGAACTTCCAGGAGTGAGTCTGTGATCCACTACAGACATCTAGCTCAATATAGAGTTTAACTTAATAAATAAAAAGTGGCCGCAGGAAGCCAGGGAACGGTTTAGACTCCACATTGTGCAGCCTGGCACTTGTGCTTTTCTTGGCTGGCCAGAGGTATTTTTCTATGCTGCCTCGTAGCCTTCCTAAGAGGGAGTAGTGATGGCTCTGCTTCTGCATCCTGGCCCGACAAGTGCCAGTGATGTGACATTCATAGTACCGTGCACAGCTGTGCACGCCCACAGCTACCTGCTTCCTCCGCAGGCCACCCACCTCGATTCTGCAGAACGGAGCGTTCTGAGCCCCACAACACCCCGGGGAACCTTCTGGTCTGATGTCAGAAACACTTCAGACTCTCCAGTGCTTTCTCCAAAGAATACCTGGCTCTCCACTTATTTCCTTCTTGTAACCCTGCAATTATGCAACTAAACCTAATTCTGAACTCTCGCCTGCCTAGCTCTTCCCCTGTATCCTCCTCTCAACTTGCTACCCTGCAGCCGCAGGTCACCCTGCTTCCTGTCGGTTTTTTCAAACATGTCAAACTTGCCCCCACCGCTAGTTCCTCGTCCTTGTTCTCCCAGTGCCTGGACAGCCTCCCGAGGTTCTTCTCCTCAGAGACCTGTCCACCCTATAAGAAACGGTGCAACCCCAACAAATCTCCAGCATACCGCTCTCTTTCCTGCATAATCTGCAATTGTCTTGTTTATTTACCTGTATTTATTATCTGAGTCCTTTACTACAATGTTAGCGCTGGGAGACACTGTTTCTGATGTCCCACTGCTGTCCTGTTACTTCACATATTTCCCCACCTTATGAAAGGGCAAGAGCAGGTTACTGGAATGATCTGACAGCTAGAATGTCTTCCATGTCAGGCCAGCCCTTCAGTTAAAATACTCAGAGGAACGGGCAGAATTTTCCTGGTGAAGCATTGGTGTTTATAAAATCAACGTACTCTAATTAATGGAGGTGCTTAGCATACAGGTATTGAACAAGTAAACGAGCTAGGATCAAAGTGGCTTCCTGTGCTACAGAGTTGGACACAAAAGGAGACACCAGGAGATACAGCAGGAGAAACCACCCCCTTCCTTAACGCATAACATCACAGGTGGCCGGTCCTCTTCAACGGGAAAAGGGCTGCAGGCGTTCTCAACCCGCTCTGACAAGCCGGCTCACGACCAGGACCACTGCAGACCCAGAGGAGAAGCCTTTCCAACCGTAAGGCTCACTCACCCCGGTCCCTGGTGAAGAGAAATCAAGTCCTATTCTGAAGTGTTCTGAAGCTGACTTGCTGACGCATCCACACAAAACCCTTCAGCACGGGGGCAACTAAGTACAGATAACCTCGCTTTTTGAAAGTTTGCTTCACACCACTTCACTTTTACGAAAAGACCTACAGCTGTACCTGATTTCACTAATCACAAGAAATCTGAAAAGGATTTTCCCTTTTGCAAAAAAAGGTGAAAAGCAAAAGCAGCGTTCAGTGCCCGTTTTCAGGGAGCTGTTACAGAGGCAGCGCGAACCCAGAGCAGCGAGCGGCACTGCCACGCTCTTTCCCCGGGACCACACGCAGCATCTCAGCATCAAGTAGCCACGGCTTTGAACTGTCTGTGAGCAGCTGCGCTTTACTTCCATTTATTTTATGTATCATTAGCAAGACGCGTCCGAAGGTGAGTGCTTCCTCACTTCACACCATTTCAGCTCATGAAATGTTTCATAGGAAACGCTCTGCATAGCGGGGAACACCTGCACGAGGAGAGGCAGGTCCTAATTTATAGACATCTTGGCATCTCTGTAGAATCGAATAGATGTCGTTCATAATCTGATGTTACGATAAAGGTCATCGTTCCTTTTGAGGGACTTAATTGATACAGGAAGTTGGCCTTAAATACTCTCAAATATTGGATGATATTAAGAAATGGTTCTTTTTTAAGACATGATAGTTTTTTACATTGTAGTTACATGTTTTAAAAATAAGAGTCCTTATCTTTGAAAGACACATACTAAAATGTTTGCAGATAAAATGAGGTCAGATTTGCTTCTCAGAGGAAGGGGGGAGGGGGAGTACAGTCAAAGCAGGCCCGGCCATGAGGTGATAGCCACTGAAGCTAGTGATGGGTCCATGGGAGTTACTGAAACTATCTGCTCTCCCTTGTGCATGACATTTTTCCTAAAAAAAAAGACAATTAAAAAAAAACTCTAAAACAAATCAGTTTCACTTGTGAAATGAAAGAAGTCACCTGAAGTTGAAGGTTTCGCCTCTCCAGTCTTGCAGAGGGTGCTCCTGGACGACGCCCTGGCTCAGAGGTGAGCTCTGCAGTGGGGACTTGGCATGGGGGAGGGTACCCACGTGACTGAAGTCATCACAGGACCTTATGGGAGGAGGGCCCTTCTTCTTCCGTGGAAGGGTGCCATGTATGGACACGTCTTGATAGGCATCTGTGCGATGCTCAACAAGAGGTGACTTGCTGCTCAGAAGGTCCATGGACGAGGCCAGGGGGAACTGGTGATTCACCGGCATGTTTCTGGGAAGGCTTGCAAATTTTCCTGCAGCCATGATTCTCAACTCTAAGGGGGAAAGAAAAGAGTGAAGGTATAAATCTAAGAAAATCACAAGATCTGATTTCCTGCTCACAAAAGGAAATGGAAATACACCACATAACAAAAGAAAACGTTCAGAGAGTCAAAGGGCAAACACTGGGTGGCATCACTAGTGAAATTTAACACGCGGGCAAGTTTACCCATCTCCTTTTTTTTTCATCCTACAGAGGGATTCTCCTGGGTGGGCAGCAGATCCGCCAATGGAAAAGGACAAACACATTTCAGGGACTTCAGAGGCACACGGGCCATTTTATTACTTCAGATGAGTGAAGCGGATGGAAAAGCATGACTAACAAAAAAGAACACTGAGGAAAGACTCAAGGTTTCAGTACTGAACGCGTCAGAGAAAAAGGTATGGAGATACTAGATAATTAGCTCCCGAATTTCCACCACCCTGAAAATGATGAGAACAGGCGGAGATTACTGGAATTCCTCAGCTGCTAGGAGGCCTTCAGGGCCAGACCAGCCCCTCAGTCATGCTACCCTGAGAGACGGGACAGACTTTTTCTGGCAAAGACCCGGTGCTTATAAAATAAATCCATGTACGCTAATTAACTAAGACGGCCAGGGTCAGGGGTCCGGAGGTGAGCCTCTCCTCCAGACACCTGTGGGCTCAGCTGGACAGGAAAGCCGCTGGGGTGGGACCTCCATGCACACTGTTCCCAGAGGGGTCAGGGACCCGCCTGCCACCAGCAGGAATAAGCAATGTGCGTGGGGGCCTGTACAGTCAGGGGAGAGTGGGATGGGCAGAGAAGGAAAAAAGAAAAAAAGGGGGCGGAGGGGCATGGAAAGAAAAGGAAGGTGCTGTGTGCACAGTGGCCCAGACAGCTGGTCCCTGCTCTGACCACTAGTAGAAACGTTCACCTGAGCAGGGTCCGCGCCCCCACCCCCTGAAAAACAAAGTACGGTGTTGATCTGGGCCAAATTGTATGGCATTTTTAAGGCTAATACATCGAGGAAAAGAAACACAAGCCCGAGTTAAAATTAGGGCCAGTCCCTGGAGCACAGGACCCAGAGTTCGCACCCCCAGTCACGGCACCAGACTGGCCTGGGGGCACAGCCAGGGCTAAGCCCGCAGCGCTGGCCTCCCCCGAGGCTGTTCAGGAGAACACTTGGCCCCGCAGTCTGTTCTCAGGCCCTGTGGCCCCCGTTCCTCACGACCGCCTTTCCACTGCGAGGGGAACGGCTCCGAGTGAAAAGCGTCACTCGGCAGCACGGCTGCAGGGTCAGCTCCACACAGGAGCCGGGGACTCGAGGTGGGGCTTGGAGACAGTGCAGAAGAACAGAGCCCCCCAGGAGGAGGCGGGGTGAAGACAGCAGGGTCTGCGAAGGAAGCAAACAGCACACACACACACACACACACACACACACGACCCGCGGCTCCCACCCGAGACAGACACAGTGCTGGGGGCTGGGCGGCGGGAAGAAGACCCTTCACTCAAGGCGTGTAATCCCGACCCAGTCCTCAGTCCTTTGCCAGACCTGGTCATTCTGCGGCCTGTCTGCTCCACGTCTAACTGCGACCACACAGAAGGCCAGGCTCCTGGTGGATGCAGAACAATGGGCTGCGAGTCCCCGCGTGGGCCCCTCCCGGGTCTGGCCAGTACCTGGCACACTGTCAACACTTCTCAACGTTAGTCATTGTTATTAAAAAAGAAACCAAACTCCCTCGCCCTCCCTGCCTGATCACAGGTGACGTAAGCCGACTCGGGTCCCCTCAGCTACACAAGCACACCTCACAGCTACAAACCTCCCCTGTCCGAGCTATCTCGCCTTCTGTCTTCACAGACAGGCCCGGATTGTTTCCAAGGACCTGGAGGAGAGGCCCAGAGCCCCTCCCCCGCTCCAAACCTCTTTGTGTGCAAAGGCCCACAGTGCTGATCACATCTATTTCCAGGCTAGTCCATGGACAAGAGTCACCCAGCTCCAGTATCTCCCCCAGCCTGTTTCCTCTCTGCTCACCCAAGATCTATCTAGATTTCAAGGTTGAGCCCAAGTGCTGGAGGATGCCCTTCAGCAAGTCATCCACACCTCAGCTTATTCTCAAGGGAGGTTAACTCCTGCCCTTCCTGCTTCCAAATCAACAAATATTTAAGTGCCTCCTCTAGATAAGATCCTCAGAGAAACGAAGACGATGACGCATAAGCCCCTGCCCCAACCACGAACCTAAAGAGAGAATCCAGCCGACACCAGGGCAGTGCGGGGTGAACCCACGGGTAACTTACAGTCGGCGCGCTGCATCCGTGCCTCCCCCACATCCAGAGCCAACCAGCCGCAGACCACCTTCTGTAGTTTTTACTGCCGAAAAATATCTGTGTTTAAGTGGACCCGTGCAGTTCAAACCTGTGTTGTCCAGGGGTCAACTGTCACATAACTCATCAGTGGGCCCCTTCACGTGCTGGAGGGAAGAACACTTCGTGTTGACCAAAGGACTCAAGGAGGACCTGAGAGGGCATCTCTGGAGACGAAGGATCTTGACAGGCTGAAAGCCGCAGGGAAAAGCCTTCCAAGGGGATTTGGTGATGGCAGGAAGTGCCCCCCACAGGCTCAAGAGACTGAGCCGTGCGTGTGGCTTGACTGAAGTTAGGAAGCATTTCCTGGAAGCAGCACCAGATCGGCAAGTCTTGAAGGCGGTGCTGAGGTGTCTGGACTGGGCGGTCAGTGCTGGGGAAGCTGGGGAAGGGAGGGACCGGATCCAGTCTGGGCCTGGGCACGGAGCACTGGTAACTCTGGAGGGGAGAGAAGGGAGGTGGGGAGGTCGGCCACGACGGCAACAGGCCAGCAAGGAGTGATGGAGAACTCGGACCTGGGGCATGGCCAGGGGAAGGCAAAGGAAGGGCAGTGAGGGGCTAGAAGCTCGAGGCTCTGGCTGGGAGGAAGCAGGCCACAGCCACGGGAGGTGCTCTCCTGTAACACGCGAGGGCAGGAGCTGCTGCGCGAGGGACCAGCGGGGACCGCTGGGGCTTGCAGGCTGGATGTCGGTGTGTGCAGGCAGGAGCTGGGCCAGGATGCAGGTTTTTAAGAGTCATCAACACAAAGGGAACATTTAAACCCAAGAGTAGACCCCTTAGCTTGTTATTATCAGATGTGATAACAGATGTAAAAGTGCCTCTTAAACTGTCAGGAACCATTCACTATGCATGAATTACATCCCTGCTCCCTCGCACCTTGGCTGCTTCAAGTCCATAAAGACCAACGCAAAGGGTGAGTTCTGAAACTTAAAGCAGCGGTTCTCAATCTAGCTGCACCTGAGTCCTCAGAAGCTTTTGGAATCCTGGCACCCAAGCCACGGCCAGACCAATGAAATTACAACCTGGGAGGGTAGGACCCTGGCATCGGTCTTATTAAAGCTCTCCAGTATTGCTCGGTGCGGAGCCAGGTTTGAGGACCACTAGGTAAGCGAGTCTCTTTGGTACAGAGCAACTGACACTCAGATGAGTTTCTGGGTATTCTCTGAGTAGAATGACGATGAGAAAGTATCACTCAGCCAACAGAAGCGTTCCTTCACTCTTCTATTTAACACATGATTAGGGAGGGCGGGCACTGTGCTGGGTGTTGAGGACAGTGTCAACGACTGTCCTCATGAGGTTCCTACTCAATGGAGGAAGCAGACAGTAAGTAATGACATAAGTGTTGGTGATCCCAGTGCTTTGGGAGGAGGGTCTAGATAAATCTAGCAGCCAGGAAAGGCTTCCCTGAGGAAGGGTTGCTGACCTGAAGGATGTGAGGCAGAGTTTAATAACTGGAGGGAGACGATCATCCCAGCTGAAGCTTCCTTACGGTTCTCAGCTGCGGCTAAGCTGGAAATACACAGGCCAAGCTCTCCTCTAAAGCTTGCTGCCTCTCACTTGGGACTCTTCCCCATTGAAATACAGTCTTGCCCTGTGTCTAGTCACTTGGAAAGACTGGCTCAAGCTTGGGCCCTAGGTCAAGCTTGAATCAATCCAATAGTAGGGGAGATGGGCGCCAGGCAGAGATATAACTTAAAAAAAAAACCCAAAACAAACAAAAAACCCACTAAAGTGGGGCAGGGGACGGAAGGGAGAATTACAGGTGGGAGAAACTTATTTGCAGTCTGTTGGTCTCTCTGTTTCCAACTTGAAATTTATTTACCTTTAATTTTTCTAGACTCCAGAAACCTGGGGGAAATCCAGGAGTGCTAGTGTGTGGAACTGAGGTTCAAGGTCTGTACCTCCCACTGGGACAGAGACGCCACTTGGCACATCTGACCACTGGGCAGAATCTCAGCGTGTGTTATGTAGATGGGATCTCAGAGAAGCAAGCCCCTTCTCTTTTTCCAGAAAAGGAAAATAACTGTTCATTCACTCAATATACGTTCTCTGAGGGTTTACAATGTACGAGAGCTGAGGATATAGCAAAACAGATAAGGTCCTGCTCTCACGGAGTCTGCACTGTGATGGGGGAGGCCAACCAACACAGACAAGAAAGCAAAGCAGGTATTACCCCGGCTGGGAGCACCCTAAAGAATGTGAAACAGGATGAAAGGAGAGAATATACTTGTTGGGGATGGAGGGCTATTTTAGCCTTGGGTAGTCTGGGAAGGCCTCCCTGCAGAGGTAACAATGACATAAAACCTGGAAAAAAAGAAGGAACCAGTCAGGAGAGGATCGGGGTCTTGAGGTGGGAAGATGTCAGTGAAAGAACAGTGGAGACTGGACTCATCTCCAGTTTCTGGCTCCCATGATGTCTCCACTTAGAGATGTTTGTTTCGATGTTCGCAGTCACTGTGTACTTTTTATGTACCATATGATTTTTTTTCAATCAAACATGGTGTGATTCAGAACCTAGGCTTTGAAGTAAGACATTCACAGGTTCAAATCCCTATTCTGCCATTGATTTGCTGTGTGGCCTGGGACGGGTGACTCAACCTCTCTGACAGTCAGATTCTCATTTGTGAAAATGGGTTAACAATACCTATTTCATGGGGTTGTTGTGAAATGTAAATA